GGGGGGGGGGGGGGGGGGGGGGGAGCCACAAAAAAACCCTGCAGTCTAGACGCGAATCTTTTGAAAATACAAACCATTTTCGAAAGATCCCTTATCCCTCATAAAATGAGGTTTACAGGATCTTTCGAAAAAGGGTTGTATTTTCAAAAGATCCGCGTCTAGACTGCCTTTTTTCAAAAAGCTCCATTTAAAAAAAAAAGCGGCAGCCGACTTTATGCTAATGAAGCGTGGAATATTTAAATCCCCACACCATTAGCAATTTCGACATGCCTAATCTACATTTCTCTGTCGACAGAGAGGTGTAGTCTAGACACACCCTGTATGTGTTCACATGTGCACACATACATAGAATCATAGAATACTAGGACTGGAAGGGACGTTGAGAGGTCATCGAGTCCAATCCCTTGCCCCCATGGGCATGTAAATGGACATGCTCCATGTAAATGGACACATTTATGTGATGGGATCTATCTTGATATTTATTTGTTTTTTTTATGCTTAATTATTTATTGTGATTTTTGGAGAGGCTGCTCAAAAACTGGCAAACGTTTAGAAGTAAGGGTGCCAAAGTTACGCAAATCCACATTAAGCATTTGTTCCAATTCCCACTGACTTTAGTATTTATTAATCAGAACTTAGGAGTGAGCTTCTGATTCCAAAGTCTGTTAAAATTTTATATTCATATTGGAATGAAGAATTGACCAGTAAAAATGTGAAGAATTAAGAGACTAGTGGGACTCTTTATGATTGGGGAAGGGTCTTGTTGAAAATCATATAACTAGACCTTCGAATACATGAGAGACAGAAATCAGCCTTGTTACAAATTCTTGACTGGGGAACTGTCATGTCTAATTAAAGATAGTTCGAGTGTACATCATAGCCACATGCTGAGTTTCAGGTAGACAATCTTCAGGTCTGTTTGAAATGTTAATTATCTCCCTTTTATTTTTCTTTCAGGGGCCTTATATTTTTTTCTGAGAATTTCTGAGAACATCATTTAGATAAGATAGGATGTAATCTACATTATATTTGTAATAATGTTTGGAGGGGACTGGGGTTTTGATAATCCTAGGTTTTCACCTTTATTTAATGCCATTTTTAGGACTCAGTTCCTTCCCTTGCCTAGATGTTCATCGTTTGAGTTGTTTTGCTGCTCTTGGGAGCTGGATCAGTTTGCAGAAGGAGAAGAACAGTGGGAGAGTCTAGAAGTTGCTCTTGATGTGGTTCATGGAAAATTATATGAGCGCGCTGCTTGGCATGTTTCTCTTCCTACTCCCTCTTGTGCTGCTGAACTAAGAACTGTTGCTGGGTTCACTCTGGGACCACAATAGCACTGAGGGACTTAGTGAATTGAGGCAGGGACCAAAGCCACTAGTTCTGTGTGAAGGGTGATGTCAGTGCAGCTGGGGGAAGATTTTAAATTGCTATTGCCCCTGTCCTGTGGGCACTCATGTAATCACAGGGCAAATGCGGTGACCAACTTTTATCTTCCCTCCTAAATGCATTGATCCCAGCAGCTGGAAAGTGATGGCACAGAATAAGTGCGTTTATTTTGAGACACTGTGGGAGAAAGAAGTATGGTTTCTTACTTGTCAACACAAGTTACAACAGAATAGAGCTGCCAAAGCTGTTACGTCACTTGCGAGCATGTATGCTTGGCTGCTTACATTAGCTCTATGTTTACTCACCAGGAATGCTTGTGTTGATGCAGAGAGTGCACTGTTTAGGTGTCCAGTGTGCCATATGCTGCTGTCTGTTGCAATACTTTCTTGAAAGTTTTGTCAATCTGTTGAGGGGTAGAAATGATTTGCCCAGGGATCTCTGCAATAGGGGTCATGTTCCCAACATGCACTTTCTCCATCCTATAATATCATTTGTATCTCATAATTTTGACCTCCCCTCTCCCTTTAAAAAACCCCCACATAACACTTGAGTCTTTAAGGTGCCATACCAAAGAGGGAATGAGTTTGGGGAAGGCGCTAGATGTCATATTATGGCCCCATCTGTAGAGCCTTGCAAATCTGTGGCTATCCTCTTTATGTCCAGGGATATCCGTGGATGTGGATGTCCATGGATCACTTTTGCAGATGCAGATACCAATTTTGTATCTGTGCAGGGTTCTATCTGCTCTCTGAACAGACTGTGACAGACCAGGCCGGGTCTGGGCACCGCTGACGGCATCAGCTCAGGGCGAGTTGCTCAAAACCAGGGCTACTTACAGCCTTCAACTGGAGACCTTTCCCAAATAGGCCACAAGCCAGTCACACATAGCATTTCAACTGCCAATCTGGCCAGCAGGAAGCCTCACGAGAAAAACCCCTCAGACATCCCAGCTTTCTCTGTGCCGCAATCAGCCCTGGGCCTTACACACAGGTGAGAGGTTATAAAATCCGATCTCACCAACTCCAAACAGATCCTGCCGGTCCCAAAAAACCAGCCACAGTCCCAGGCCAATTTTTACCCACAAGAGCACACTGGGCCAGTCCTTTAGTATCTAAAATCTAAAGGTTTATTAATAAAAGAAAGGAAAGGTTGAGAGTAATTTTAAGGAGAATACATTACATACATCAGTCATCAAGTTCTTGATGCAGGCTCTTATCAGAGATGTTACAAACTGCTAGCTTAGAAGTCTCTGGTTTACATCCTGTATTAGGATGGGTCAGCAACCCTTCCCGGCTCTCTGTCCCTAGCAAGGATGCGTCTGGAATCCGGAGCAAGATTGAAGACTAGATGGAAATGCCCTCCTTGGATTTTTATATTCTTGGTGTCTCCCAAATTGGAGCTGGTCACATGATCTAGTGACCTGTCTGTGTTTCACATGCAAGTAGCCATGAGGCACTGGCTAGTTTGCAGACTTCCAGACACATTGCTCAGGTGTGTATTGCCCACTCATTGCCTCGGGTGTGTATTGTCCATGAAGCAGTGGTAGTTAGCACAGCCATTCACTGAACAGTCCTTCCTCACAATAGGCAGTCCAGGCCAATTGCTCTCTCCCAGAGAACATTTATAATACAAGAAAGCCCATATTCATAACTCCACATACAAAATCATACAAGTACATGAGTGTCATGCACAGAATCAGTAAAGAATAAGCTTTCATTTGACACCTCACACAGCCTAATTTGTACAGAATTTGGGGCAAACACTACCCTTGATGCAACAGTCATCTGTCTGTTCACTTTAAAATCCAATAATGTGGCACAGACACCAAATTGTTGTGGGTGGACCTAGTTGTTAGATCCCATGTGCTCCAAAGCCAACTGGATCCGGGAAGTGCTAGGTTGTGGTTTCTCCCAAGGACAGACCTATTGTCTACCACTCTTTCTTGGAACGTGGGGCTCCCTAGCTCAGCTGCCTTAGACCCTGAAGCCAGTGCCTCAGCCCTCCCGAGTTTCTAGCTACTTACACACATTCTACAGAGTTCATCCTATGGGCATATTGAGCTTTTTGATTAATTGCTTCAGGGATGACATGGCACACAAGGAACACAGCATTAGCAGAGGCATTTCTTAAACAGTCGCTTTTACTCTTAAACACTAGAAGGTTATATAGATCGATCTTTGCAAAAAATAACAAATATTCTTCAGATGTACCTTTCCTTCTCCTACTCCCTCACCTTCCCAGTCTGACCTCTCCCCTTCTGTGGGTCTGAGGTCTGGATCAGTGATTCAGGCTGGGTCTCCAGCCTGGTCTTCTAGTATGTGGTGGTGGTGAATAGCTCCATGTTGTGACAGTGGTCTCACTAAAAACTGAGCCCAGTTAGTGGCAGAAAACAATGTGTCTGAATGTTTTAAGTTGAGAGCTTCATTATTTTCTGCTGCCAAATGAGGAATTCGCTAAGACCCCTCTGTCCAGTTTGTTGCAGTGGTTCATAATGGGCTGCTGTGTAGATTTTCATGAAAGAAGAAGCTTCTGTCTTGGTTCGCAGGGGGCTGTTCCCAGGCACCAGTTAACCAGTACCCAGTAAGCATCACCCAGTTAGGGAGATATTTAACGGATAACCAGTTATCTTTTGAGATCCCTAGTTCTGACAGTTCTGGGTAGAGCATAATGCAAGAAACGGGTCATTGCTCCTCAGAAAACAGGCAACCAGCCCCAGAAAAGCTTGGGAGAACATGTGCAGTTTGGATTATGCCCTGGTGGTCACAAGGTCTATGCTGTGATGAAAGAACAGGAGAAGCAAATTTCAAAGTGAAGGACACCTTGTTGAGAGTGCCGTACTACCATCCCCTTCCAATTTATACAAGGAGAAACATACTAACTCATACACCTTCATTGGTTAACAGTCCTGGTAACATACAAGCAGCGGGACAAGCCTCAGAAAACGGACCCAAATAATTTAGGTCAAAACTAATTCTTTAAACTTGACATGAGGTTCAGGTAGGAGCAAGTGAGAGCCATGTGTAACACAGGTGTAACAAATTCCCTCCATTGAACACCTCATAAAAAAGCTCTCCTG